GAGAGGGTAAGAAAAAGTGACTGTTTACTCATTCTGAACTATACAGAAGAGTAGCAAATGAATTCCCTTTCCCTTAGAAAGCATCCTTACCATTTTGTTTTAGTTTTCTGGACATAAGTAATTCTGACCCAATTTGTTGCTCTGGACTTTGATTTTAATATGGCATGATTATATGATCACTTTTGATTTTGGAAGATCTGAGGCCCATGCTGTGAGATTTTACCCATTTTTTAAATAATTTTCAAAATTATGAGGAAGTAGGAGGGAAAATGCTTTTTTTGTCCAGATGAAGACCCAAGATAATTGCAGTTGGATTTACCAAACATAACTTCGGGTGCTTCTTCTTTGTCTCTTGATTTATTTTCAGATCAACAGTAGAAAATGATGCTTAATTAGGGGTATATCTCCCACTCCCAGTTATGAAGCTCACAAGCAGATCTTAAGCTATTTTGCTCTTTCACCAGTGAAAGTGACTACACAGATTTGCTGTGAGAATAAAAAGTAACAAAGCATTATATTCTATCCTACTCAGATGTTTTGAAGATGATGGTTAAAATGTTATTGCTATTATGAATATGTTTCTCTTTTTCAAAAGAAAGATGATACCTTAACGAACTACTAGAACAATAATTTTTAAGTCCCTGAAAACTATATCTGAACAAGGGAAGAGAGATGAGCACCCTCTTCCCAACCAATTTTTGTCAGAGTTGTATTTTCATGTCATGTGTTAGCAACATGGTTTTACACAGGAAATTCTTCATTGCGCAAGAATGGAAAAAATATGAGGGCTATTATCTCTACCCATTACTCGTCTAATTTTCAGATGGTTGTATAAGGTTTCTCTTCCACTGCTGTTAAGAACACAATAAAACCAGGCAAGTCAATCAAATCGGAAATATATTCAGATTATCCTATTCAGAAAGATTACTGAAGTTATGAAAGTAAAGAACTACAGTGCCACTGTTTATACATTGCATTCCCATCTCAACTGCTAATACCAACAGCATAATACTTTACAGTTTATAATAGCATTCCAGTTTTAATCTCCCGTTTCTTATGGAGACAGCATCCAGCAAGCTAAGTTCTAGTACTTATTTCCTGGCTAGTAGACACATACAGTTTCCAATGCTTCCAAAAGCCATGGAAATAACACTCGAATCCTTATATAAATCTAGGCAACATGGCACTTCCCCCACATTTTGAATTCACTCCCCGTAGTTTTGTCCCACTGACCTGGTATGGTCCCAAACATTTGGAAGGAATCAGATTCCCTAATCTTGTCCTCAACATATAGGGAGAAATGTGGCAGTAATTTCTGAATTCTCTTTCCTATCATCCCTATTTAGCCAAGCCAATGATGGCAATTCAACTTTTGGAGGCCAGATATTACTTGTTTACCTTAACAGTATACCAAAGATAGTCACCCTATCAGGGAGATGAGTGACATATAAATTTAATAAATATATAGCACACCAGTACCAAATGTCTAATTTTAATAAACTTTATTAAACATTTTATTTGCCCTTTTGTTTTATGTTAGTTTCCTTTGCCGTATAGTTGTTGACTTATATGACACAAGCCACTCTGGGAACAGCAGAGAAGTTTCTAAAGTAATCCTGAGGTTCATTATTTCTAATGATGCTTGGAATAGCTTCTGCCGATGCCCTTTATGTTTAAATCACAAGAAAATGGATTAGATTAAACTTTAAGAGAAATGTCCTGGCAGTACAAACTGTTCCACAGTGAATAGCCTGCTTCAAAAGATGCTGGCTTTGACTTTGTTAAGAAAATTCATTTTAAGTCATTTTATTACATTTTACAAAGCATACATACAAAATCAACATAAACTAACAATCAAAAGAAATGATAAAGAGTAAAAAGAAATAGGGATCAAAGTGTGAAAAAGTATAAAGGAAAGGAAAGGAAAACACAAATCTATACAAAGAATGATGTCCGACTTTTCTTCCAAGGATATAAAGAACACTTACTTTCAAATATTAGTTTATTAGCTTATTATTTATTATTAATTTATTAGTTTTATTATCATTTCCCCAAAAAAGGGGGAAATAAAAAATTCCCCTTTTTAAATTTTAACAATCATCAAGTACATATGTCAAGTTTTGATTTTTCTCCATCTCGTGTAAAAAGGCTTTACTTTATTAAAAACTTTAAAAGTAGGACCTGAGAACTCAACCACTTGGAACCTACCCACTGTACATTTCTTGAATTGGCAACTGCAATTTCTTCCAAGACTGTTATTCAATAATTTCAGAAAATAAAAAAGCTAAGCAACCTGGAATTAAGGAGAAACTTCCTAACAGTGAGGAGAATTAACCAGTGGAACAGCTTGCCTTCAGAAGTTGTGGGAGCTCCATCGCTGGAGGTTTTTAAGGAGAGACTAGACAGTCACCTGTCTGAAAGGAAGAAAGAGTCAAGCTACTCTCCAAAGCACCTGAAAGCAGGACAAGAAGCATTGGACGGAAACTAATCAAAGAGAGAAGCAACCTAGAACTAAGGAGAAATTTCCTGACAGTTAGAACAATTAATCAGTGGAACCACCTGCCTCCAGAAGTGGTGAATGCTGGAAATTTTTAAGAAGAGACTGGACAGCCATTTGTCTGAAATGGTATAGGATTTCCTGCCTGAGCAGGGGGTTGGACTGGATGACCTCCAAGGTACCTTCCAACATCATCATTATCATCGTATTATTATTATTATTATTATTATTATTATTATTATTATTATTATTATTATTATTATTATTATTATTATTATTATTATTATTATTATTATTATTACTATTATTATTATATGGTATAGGTTCTCCTGCTTGAGCAGGGGGCTGAACTAGAAGACCTCCAAGGTCCCTTCCAGCTTCTATTCTATTCTATTCATTCCATATCCCATGCATCTAGTTTCTTCCTAGAAATAAAAGGCATCTGAACAGAAGGCAAGTTTTCATTGATTTTATAGATTAATTAAATTGTAATAGTTTTATTCCAAATCATACAGATGGTATTCTTAAACCGTTCTGTTATGGGTTGGTTCAAAATTTGAAGACAGTCTTGATCCAAGGATTGATCGAGTCCATGGAATCTGAGATCCAATCCCTCATATTTCAATCACTGCAGCTATCACTCTTCAATTCAATTGATAGTTAGGCCAATTTTCTTGGACCTCGGATCTGCCTCTGGTATATATTAACCTTGTCTGTGTGAAATTGCCCATACCGATCCACTTCTGAAAGGTCTTTTTATATTGTATTTTTACATAGTTTTTATGTTACATTCCTATCCTATCTGAAATGTCCACCCTGTTTTATATACAATCTAAAAAGGAACCCAGCTATATAACTCAGTGAAACAAAGCTGGCTCCTCACCCTGCCTCACTGCAGGCTTTACACAACGGAATAGGGCAATAAAGCTCTTGTGTTTGTCTTAGCAACAGCCTATGGCATATACCTCCCTTAGGACAGAGCCAGGCAACTTTCCCTTTGTTGAGAAAGAACATCTCCAGTCTTTTTCTTTGACTTATCTCATTCCCTGCAGGGCAACAGTTTATTTCTAACTAGCTGTACCTGGCCACGCGTTGGTTGCTGTGGCTCAGTCTGGTTAAATGGAAAAGAAAAGAGAAAGCGCACGTTTGTGTCACAGGTGTGACATCTATATAATAGTAGGTAAATAAAAACACGCGCGTATTCGAATGCAACGTTGTGTCAAAATTTCAAAGCAATCGGTGAAGAACTTTCGGAGATTTAAGATTTTGAACAAACAAACATTTACATTTTTATTTATATAGAAGATTGCCCTCAAAACTGACACTCCAGTTGTGTATGATACAGACCTCTGATCTGGGAAAGTTCTTTTCCTCCCAATGAGAAAGACTGTTGACTATACAGCTGCTTTGTATTCCCATATGTCCAAAACCAAATTGCTGCCTAATATCCCATCTCACATCCTATCAGGTTTGGATGCAGTGTGGATATCAGTCACATCAAAGTGACTGCCCATTTTATTTTTACAAGAAGACCACCCAACTAAGGATCTGGACTGCCAGGAAGACTGTTCTCGTGATAAGGAAGGTGTGCAATCACCAGCTTTACCTGTTAGAACTTGCCATGGAAGTAATAATCAAAAGCAAATGCAGGTTATAAAGAAATTCAGCCCAACATGTTTGTCATACTTAATCCTGGTCCCTATGCCTCCCATCCAGTCTTTCCCAGCTTTAGTGCCTTCCAGATGCATGTGTATCGAGACTTCCCAAAATTCGAGCAACACTGCCTTGGAAATTTTGGGAAGTAACCTTTACAAAAGGAGAAAAATGCCCAAGCTGGGAAGCTGCTTGAATGCTGCTTTTCCATCTATGCTTCTGAAAAAAAATATACATAAAAAACATAAAAAGAAATTCTAAATATGCACCAAAGTTAGTACAGATCCTTGACCTACAGCAATATAAATTTATCTGGATAACAGGAAGTCATTTTAAATACTTTTTCTCTAAGAATAGTTAGTATCCAATATTTATTCCTAATATCTGCCTTTTCCTCCCTAAATAAACAAAGCCAAAAACTTTAATCAGCCACCTCAACATAGTCATACTTTAATGGACTGGGAAATCACAATCTCTAAGGCCATTTTTGAAAGCTTCAGAAGTAATCCACAGCAAGAACTGGCAGCATAGGTTTTCTCATTTTGAATAAGAAATATCAATGCCTATTAAGTAGTTTAACAGAAATGTGGAAAGAAAAAACCCCCACATAATCCCACCTACAAAATTCAGAAAATCCCAATCCAATTATAGGCACTTGATGTCATTAATAAGCCCCGTCTCCACAAATAATATTAATTAAATAACTACTTACCCCAAGATGCTTAAAATGAACCATCCCTTACATCTCTAGATAGGAGACCAGGCTGAGAATCAAATGTAATACATATGGAAGCCTAAGGGTTTTTATAGTCAGGAAAAAGAAGAGGGGAGGAAAAAAAACCAGACTTACTGAATTTATGCAACCTAATTCTTTATTCAAAAGCCAGGGCAGAGAAAGCTTCCCTTCTCCACGGTAGCAAGACTGGATGCGTTCCTTGATCTTGTCTTTGATCTTCTTCAATGTGAAAAGGCAGAGGACAGATTCTTTTGGTGGTTTGACTCTGTTCTTCTGCCCCTGAGAGAAGATTGTGAACAGAATGTCCTCCTGTTCTGAAATGCCCAGTTGCTTGGCCAAGGCCTTTCCAGGCTTGCTGAGGTAAGCATCCTGAATTAAGCGATATTCAATGCCATCTCGAATACAACCAATGGGAAATTCCACATATGAATAGAACTTGGGGTCATCCACGCATAGCCGGACAACTTTTGAGGTGAAAAACTGCTCTCCTGTAGAGTCGGGTGAGGTAAGTTGGGTGTCCAGCTGCAGTGTTAGGTAATAGACAAATTGCTCACTACTGAAACTATAGATATAATAGATATCAAATGTGGGAAACTTGGAGAGTGTATCTGATGGGATCTTGAGCTGGGAGGAGACAAATTCATCTTGATAAACGAAGCCAAACATCTCTGCATTCTCTTCACTGTCCATCAGTTTACGGCTGGACAGAGTAGGGAAATACTCGGACTTTCCATCAATGGGAGTTCCAATGAAAAGCTTGTTTTGTCCATTCTGCACTTCAATTATAACACCAGACATTGTTCCTGACTCATTGACACTAGAGAGGTAGTGTTCCTTACGGTGATGCGGCTCGCCCAACTTGAAGAGATCGTCCAAGCGTAGGAACTGGCAGATACCTTGTGAAGCACTGCCGCAGGCTATCAGACGATTCCCAGAGTAATCTACCAGCAGCAGTTTATTGACATTGTTGGTACTGACTAGGCCGTGCGGGCAAGACTGCACACTAGGTGGTGGGTAACACTTCTCATTGTCATCTACTGGACCCGTCACATGTGTGCGCATTTCTGTCAGGTTATTTGCAAGCTTATAGATCCGGTTGACAGCACCCACATATACTTCCCCGGTTTTGTTGTGGACCACCAAATGTGTCAAACTCCAGTCTGTGACCTGGAAAGTCATAAAAGGGGAGGAGGATTTGGTAGTGCTTTTTGCCAATGGCAACCAAGAACTACCCAAAAGCAGCAGGGTCCAAATATTAATTGACACATGGTGCTTTAGCCTTAGAAGCCACATGGTGGAAGAGTCACATCCAGCAATGCATTAATCTAACTATAAAATAAACAAGAATCAAACCAAAAACTGGAGTTGGGAGGAGAGACTGAATTCCTGTGGACGAACTTCTTTTTTTCCACTTGTTTCCAGATTCAGGACATTATAGATGCTGGCATTCTACACGGCCCTAGAAAAAAATGCAAAAACAAGCATGGTTAGGCAAACAGTTGTGCCACTCAAAATACAAAAGCACAATAAAATCTCAGTTACAAACATCTCAGGAATGGAGGTGGTTCAGATAGCTGAAATATTCAGCTGTCTCGGAGAAGCATTGCATAGTATTTGTTCATCATTCTGCATTCTTTTCATTAAAGTTCCCATGACTGTTTTGTAAATTCACTATAGAAAGAAGCAGCTAAATTGTTTGCAGGACTGGCTTAATGTTCTTTTTTTTCCCAATGGCAGCAAAAACTTTAGAAGTATTAAATTTGGAATCCTGTTACTAAGGGACTAATTTTACATTTTTTGGAATTAAGAAAAACCAAAGACATAAAGTGAAGGTCTGGGATTTTTTTTAAAAAAAAAAAAGTTTAAAAAAACTGAGATTAAATCTTTTCTTAACTTTAGCCCATTTCTAACCTGTGTTGTGTATCTGTATCATTGTTCTGAATGCTTACTATTTATATTAAATTGCACTGCATTGCATTATTATGATATCAATGTTAGTTAAGTTTTCTCATGGTTTTAAAACGGATAAAGGCGACAACATTGATTTCTCACAAAAGAATACTGGAAAATTTCCATACATATTTGTATGATGCAATAACTGAAACAAGTCCATAAATCCTTAATTATACTTAACTGAAAAGCCAGATTGTCTTTCAAGAAAAAAAAACCACAAATGGCTTTGTGTCAATGAGTTAAGAAATAGAATAATGCACACGGTTACTTGAAACTAATTTCCACTTTGTTCTTACAAATTTTGCATGAAGTGGTGTGACCATGAAGAAATAAATAATTATAAAATCTTTTAGCAATCGGCATTCTTCCTGTTTCTTTCCTATTTTAAGGAATATATTTCTGAATTTGTACCTCCTCCCATCTCCATGAGCAAATAAGCCATTATTCATTACTTTGCCTCCCACCACCATCAATCCTACACACATGCAGGCATGATGATATGTTAGCTTCATAAAGCATGTGACTATGGACTTTGTCAGTCTTTACCTTAATCTATTTTCCTCTATATAGCCTTATTTACATAAAGCTTTGTGACATTTAAGGTAAATTTAAAAAACACCAAAATGTTTAGAAAACCACAAAGTACATCTCCTAACATGACAAAAGTCTATTCTGCATATATTAAAGTGTTCTTGAAGATATCCAATTAACCAGTGAAACAGCTTTCCTCCAGAAGTTGTGGGTACTCCATCACTGGAAATAGTTAAGAAGTGATTGGACAGCCATTAGTCTGAAATGGTATAGGACAGTGATGGCGAACCTTTTAGAGACCGAGTGCCCAAACTGCAACCCAAAACCCGCTTATTTATTGCAAAGTGCCAGGGCTGCATCATCATTGTGGTGCCCTCGGGGAGGAGGGGGTGTGGCCCACTGGGTGGATGTGGCTGCAGTGGTCACGGCAGACTGGGTGAGCGTGGCCGGAGCCAGTCCCTCGCCATCTCCGGGGCATCCCCGGGGGGCCAACGCCGCTTGCTTGCTCACTTCCTGCCCTGTCCCTTCTAAACGCCACATGCTCACTACTCCGGTGAACTCTGCTGGGGCAACGGCTCGCGTGCCCACAGAGAGGGCTTTGAGTGCCGCCTCTGGCACGCGTACCATAGATTCGCCACCACTGGTATAGGATCTCTTGCTTGAGCAAGGGGTTAGACTAGAAGACTTGCAAGGTCCCTTTCAACTCTGTTATTCTTTTATATCTCATCAATGTTTGTTTGCTTATACTCAGTTACTTTTTCAAAATTTGACCATTATGGGAAAGTGCCAATGTTCTCTCCACTCAACCATGTCTGGCAAGCATAGATGATTGCTTGTAAGATCTTCCAAGATTTTCCCATCTCCCAGGCAAATGATTCTCATTCTTATAACAAAAGGTAGCCTTGGGCTTATCCTAGATTTAGCACATACCTCAAAACCACAGAACTAGCCTTGAGGCAGAATGAAGGGTGATGGGTGGGGGAAGCCACATTACTCATTCCAAACATGCAAGAGCATAGCTTTGTTTTTTGCTCTTCACAAAAGTAGGAAGTGAGCTTGTCCTTCCTTCCAGGATAGGTCAAAACATATCCCTAAATACTTGTACAATGCTCATACCAGAGTAAATGATACTCAGTTTTTGAAACATTCTCCTGCAAAGTGCTACCATTCTGTGTTTTTTAAAACTAATCCTGAAGACAACAACCAATAAAGCATCGATTTTGAAACCCATGTAGTTAACATAATCATAATTTAATGTGTATGCTGCCCAGACTCACTGTGTGTGAGTTAAGCAGCTATATAACTTTGGTTTAAAACAAAAAAAAAAAAAAACCAGTAGCTTAATTATCCAAAGCTGGATTCTTCCTAAGTATCAAATCCTAGAAAATGATCCAAATCGGGATTCCCTCTTCCAGTTCCCTCCTCAAGTTGAAAAGTTCTTTTTCTTTAGCTACGGTTCTCTTGGTGTGCCTGGAGACATGGGGAGAAGAACGGACCAATGTGTTATTCTACTCTCTGAAACTGAAGATATTGCTGTGCTAGGCATCTACAATTAGGATTAGAAAAAAAGGGAATCAGAGGCTTAAGAGAGAAGGAACTCTCTGCAATTTCAAGAAATAGAAAATCACAACTGGGAAAGCAGTGGAAGGTTATGGGGGTTTCTCCACCGATGCAGTACTCCTTTGGGAAAAGAGGAGGGGATCTTTGCAAAAGGATAGGTAGAAGCACAATAGTTTGATCTATTGTGTTCCACCAACATTTGGCACTGCACCATGAAGCCTTTGTGACATTAACCGTTTGAATGGGCTCTCAAGGCCACAGCGAAGAGTTTAAGGGGGGAAAGCATAATCTCCAGTTGCATATTTATGATCTGAGACTTGAGCGTCTCGCACAAAGGGATGTTCTAACAATTTAGTTACTGAATCATGATTTCTACAATCTTGCCTGAATCTACATGGGTGTATCTGATTTTTCAGTGGAAAGTTTTATCGCAGAATCAAGGACCTCCACTTCCACATTAGGATTAGGATTAGTAATTTGACATGTTCAGATGTGCATTAGTAAATTATAAAATCCATCTGCCTTTTTTAAACAGAAGCGTATTGAGAACTGGTCTGATTCCCAGCACCATGGCCCTTCAAACATCTGTTCTTCAACTACCTATTAGGCCACATTCCCTCTTGACAATATCAATGGAGCTGATGCTGGATGGGCCACAGAGGTTGAATGACTTGACATTCAGAGACTGAGAAAGCAAAGCTAAAGTAGGGTCTGGGCTCAACCTTGCTTTGTTTTGACTATAAAGAGAAGCCAGCTTGTCAAAATAGCAATCAACCCATTTCACTAGCAACGCTGACACATACACAGAAAAGCCCTAGGCTAATCTCTCAGGCATTCAGCTTCATCTCAAGAAATTGCTGATAGAGAAACTTTGGGGGGGGGGACGGTTTTCAGTTTTATTTTTGTTTTTCTTCTCATGCCCATTACCAGGAAGCTCACATGCAACTAGGGAAAATGTTCACGCCATTTCACCATTTACCTAATTGGACTTCAATGTGTTGAGTGGTTAGCCAATAATGAGATTTTACTTTTTATAAAGATAGGAAGCAAAAACAGAGACCATCACAAAGAGAGAAACGAGCTGTGAGGATATGCAAAGAGAGAGTTTGGCTGTTTTATGAGGTTTCACTTCCAGCTCTGACATAGAGCTTTATTCCACTCGTATTTGAGTTTTTCCGCTTACTTCAGACATGTCAAACTCGCACCGTCATGTGACAGACATGACGTATCAGAGCTTTCCCCCCATTGCCGGCAATGAGTTGGACACGGTTTCCCGGTGATGCATCCAGCAGTTTAACACCCCTGCCTTACTCTCTGTGAAATAGAGCGGAAATCTATAGCTTTCCCCAATATGTAACACCCCTCACGTTACCTAGTTTCCCCAACAGAAGGAAATGTATGGCTATGTCTGATGTGTGTATCACAATGCATACACAGTATCCCTAGTTTTGAGAGGAAGTTTCATTTAGATTTTATTTCATTTTTTGCAAAGATTATGAGCTGCCTCTAGCAAAGTGAAACAGTTAAATAATGTGTATATAAAACTAAGAGTGTGCAACTCCATCATCTTCTAAAGTTACAGTGATAGAGCAAACATACTGATATCTTGTTTGTATGCAGCTTTTCAAACTGTTGGTTGTTATTTAACTATTGAGGCTGATATCCTGGGATTAATATCAAAGGAAGAAGCCATAGATCTAGATCAGCTTTTCCAATTTAGTACCTTGTAGAAGTAAATTCTTCGGTAAAACAACCAAACTAGATAAGAGATCCCATTTGGAGAAGAAAGGTCTAGAGCAGTGTTTCTCAACCTTGACAATTTTAAGGCATGTGGACTTCAACTCCCAGAATTCCACAGCCAGCAAAGCTGGCTGTGGAATTCTGGGAGTTGAAGTCCACATGCCTTAAAATTGTCAAGGTTGAGAAACACTGGTCTAGAGACACTCAACAAGAGCCTCTGCCTTCCTCATTATTATTTTCTCCTTTCAAAAGCAATTCTTCTACTGTTGCGCACGTACCCAGAGAACCATATATAGCAAGCAGGGCATCCCTTTCAAAGGCAGGGCCTTCCAACTGAGAAAGGCTAAAATAAAACTGAGGAAACAAGGATTTGGTCATAAGGGAGGAATTTGTACTTAAGACTTACAAAAAGATCTCCTAAAATCTATGTTCCTCTCTCCATCCCACTTCACTCCTGTTCTTTTATTTACACAAATTGCTAGAGAGAAGGATTGCCTCCAGCGGAGGAGGAGCTCATTTAACAGAAGCCAGAGATTTATAGACATCTACA